TAGGGGTCCATAACATACATATGAATTTTCTTGATTTGGTTGCAAGGCTTATGAGTGAGCCACACAAGCATTTTCTATTTACTTGGCTCTTTCGAGGGCCTGTTCTGCCTCAAATCTTTCCCTCCATGCCAAGAATATTTCAATGGTCATTGGTTCTCCATGAGGCACAATCATCTGAAATAAAAATAGAGCCACATTCAATTTGAATGGATCTAAATATAGGTGAACTGAATGACAGATGATATTGGCATGCATGTGAGGACATGAAGAAAAACATGTAAAATCACTTGAATAAAAAAAAACCTATTGGAGAAAGAGTTCAAAAGTACATACACTATTATAGTATTTTAGTGCTAATCATTTGCACTAGGTACTTCTATGAGATACTTTGCCCCTCCCAAGTCCCAAATAAGGGGTCATGTTTGGTCAAGGTTTGAAATAAATTCATCATAGTGAATTTCGTTTTTTTGAGGGAAGGGAGTACATGAAACATTAACTCTGTTTAACCATATAATGACAGTTTTTGGGGACATAAAAATCGAATCAGGAACTTGGAGAGGATGTAGGACTATATACAAATAATTACCCCTATATGGCTAAATATAAGTATATCCATAGATAAGAACACTGTTTTCATTCTCCAATTAAGACTCATTCTGTCATACATAAATAGCACTAGAAAATACTCCCTAGGTGACACGCTTATTAAGAAGATGGTTAAAAAGTAAAAGAGGGGGTGTAGGTTTGAGTAGAATCGAGTGAAATGATGAGAACCATTTATTTATTTATTTTCTAAGGAAAGAGTAAGATTATTTGGAAGTTGGGACAGACCAAAAAGGAAAACAGGAAGTCTAATTTGGGAGAAGAGTCACAGAGAGTAGAACTTTTTTACACTAATATGCCCTACCCAATTAATTAAAAACCTACCTCTCTCATGTAAATTTCCGTGCAATTTTAGTATAATACTATCTTTCTCCCCCACCCAGGCCCCACAAAATTCCAGCCATGGTTACCATACTCCGTAACTCATTTACTATCTTTCTCACTCTAACCCCACATCCCACTTATTTAAGGTGACGGCTTCATCCTCTACTAGTGCACAAAACACTTTACAAAGTAATAAATCAACCCATGCAATCAAAAAATTAAAAGAAAACAATTGAGTTACGTAGAACTGTTAATCAACACCCTTCACAATATTTTCTGGTATGGTTCATCTCTTTCTTTGCAAGCTTTCTGCCATGGCTTCCTAACCCCTCTAGTCCTCTAGGCCTCGATGTTTTTCGAGCAAATCGAGATTCAAGATCTAGATCTTCAATGGTTGAGGGAGTTGGTTTTTCCTTGTTTTTACCGCAGTCCGCAGTGATAAGTAAACATAGATGGCCATTGGTCAATCATGTTTTTCTGATTTTTTTTGTCCTTTTTGAAGGCAAAGGGATGGATATTGAAGATGTTAGGGTTGTGCGTCGGTGGCAGGAAGTGAGGTTAGATTGGTCTTGATGGGCAGTGATGACGTTTGTGTTTTTTGAATTGTGATGCTGGATAGTGAGGTTAAAGCCAGGTGGTGATGGGTGTGATGGACAGTGAAGATGGTAGGATTGTGGATTGGTGGAAAGTCAGGTTGGGGTTAGGTATAGGTGCGCTAATTCTCTTTAGTCATATTGAAAATGGAAAGTTTTGATAGTCATATTTATGGGAACGCTAAGCAAAATTCTCATCTAAACAGAACATGCAATTACTAATGACAATCCTATTACGTAGCCTTGACTTGAAGAAACCTTAAAGACAGAAACTCATTTTCCATTTCAATTTCGAAACCTTTAGTTAAGTCCTAAAATTGTAGTACACATGTCGGATACATGCAATCTTGATACATATATTAGATATCTTTATGCCACAGGTTGGACAGTTAAATAATATACCTCATCTTTCGCAACTTCAGCTTCTCCAGCATTTTCATCATTGGCATCCTTGGAAAATAGTTCAGATAACCACTCTTTTGCTGATGTGACCAATGTAAAGATCATTGCCATACAAAGATTCTCAGTTGCCTGTAGAATACAATCACAACAGTTTAAGCTGCATCACAAATTATGGTCCTGCAAAGTGGTAAAATGCAACAGCCAAACATTTCCAATAAATTTAGTTCATTGCACATCTAGATTTTTGTCTGCAGGTTACATGAGCCTTGTTGATGAGGTGAGATGGAAGTTTCCCTCCTCAAAATTTAGTGAACAATCCTATGTCTCAACAGCAAGATATGAGTACAGACGTTCAAGATTAAATATTTCGGCCATGCATCGCACGGGTGCAAATACTAGTAATAATGTAAACAACCCCCAAGTCCCCAACACCCAGTAGCTTCCCACCGATTCGAGGTGTCCAGATTCCAGACGACTCAACGGACCTGAACCTTCAAACGCATTTCAGTCAGGTAGGAACACAAACTACGAATTTAGGTTTTTTCGAAGACATTATCAAAATACTGCATATAATTTATTTACAATATGAATACAAATTACTAAGTATAAATTCATGGACTCATGTTCACTTGAGTGTACAAATTGAACATAAATCACTATAACTAAACTTGCTACTATAATCACATTTTTATCAATAACCTTTATTTAAGTTATAAATATGTAATTATTTCAAATAAAAATAAAAGCAGAATTTCACTTGTTTATTAGTAAATACATCAAGAGATGTTAATCAACGTGTAGAAGTGGAACTCAAATATGCACCCCGGCTTTAACGACTATGGGTATTGGGATCAGCTTTCATCCTCCACTTGTCAAAAACAGGTATATTGTGTAACACAATGTGTTGAGCCCGTTATTCAACAAATTAAATGAATAGCGGTCTGCGAGTTTTCTCTCTAGGGCATCACGCCGCTGGAGCTTTTTTCCCGTTTTCGTCGAGGACGAAGAATGGCAGTGTTTGTTTGTTTGTTTTCGTCAAGGGTTGCGGGGCTTCGTTGATCGACAAGGAGGAAGGAGATCGGTGAGAAGGAGGGTGTGATTGTCGACGAGTAGGTAGTGCCCTAAATCCCTATTACGCAGAGTGGAGTCCTGGATTGCCAGCGATTTAAAAGGCCCCACGGTAGACTAAAAATGACATGAATAGAAGGGTGTAAAAAGACATTATGGTTCCAAGAGCACACTTGGTACATTTCATAGAGTAGGAACTGCAGATATAATAGAGGACATCATAACGTTGAAAGATCATCTCAAGGGTTTATGTACCAAATCCTTTGTTGTTGGTGCTTGTATTCAGAACTTACTTGAATGCAAGCTCTTTTAAGCTTTCATTCCACCCTTCTAGGTGCTGATCCAAATGAGCATGTGTCCTAAAACTTATCCGGAACACATTTGGTGATCCTAATATTAGTTCCAGCATCACAAGCCCAACACACTAACATTGTAGATGCTTACAGATCAGCCACATAGATTAGAGGTGGGAGGAAGTTCATAAAATATCTTGTTCACCTCACTCTTTTTTCCTTTTTCTGTTTGGAAAGGGAAGCGAGAAGATATTATAACTTTGTGTTTCCCAAGAAGTATGTGTAATGTGTATGGAAAACAACTAAGCCACATTCACCAGTAATATGAATGAATTCAAAATATAAAATAACTTGCTAGCTTCTACATTCATAAAAAAATATACAGTAATGCTTATTTGCCGAGTTGCCGATTTCACACTTCCTTGTGGTCCCTAAATTATCTCTTTTCATTGAAAGAATTGCATTTTTGTTTAATTTCTATGAAAAATCTCGACACATTTTCGTTTTCAAGATGTCTATGAAAAGTCATATGTGGAGATACATAGCGAACAGGAGTAACATATACCTGTGACTCTGAGAGGCTATTATATATCTCAACATACTTCATAATATACACACCAGCCACGAAGGATGTTACAGGGAAAGGGAAGATAGACCAATAAACAGTCAGAAAGAAGAAACTCAATAGTAGATGAAGTGAAATTAACATACTTCAGAATTGTACTCGTAATCAGCTTTGTTCCATTGATGGTTAAGGTAAAAATGACTGACAGAGTAATTTCTAATTTAAAAAGGGTGCCTGACAGATGACAGAAGGGCGTCTTATAATCTAATTCAAACCTGAGCAAAAAAGAACTTGGATATTCTTCCAAGCATCTCCCACGATCCTTGTCTTCAAAGCAAATGACCATAAAAGAAGAAGTTCAGGAAACGAAGTTGGAGAATAATAAAATCCTTGTGGCAAGACTAGATTTCAAGTTTCAAATATATCTGGAGGCAGAAGAATTAAAATAACTGGTGCTTTAATTATATAACTGGATATACAACTTATTTTTCTATTTTCTTAAGTTTCTATTCTTTCCCGTTCCTTCCTTCTACTCTCTCCCTTTACCCGTTTCCCCTTTCTTCTTCTTCTTCTTCCCGGTTTCCCTTTTAATCTCTCCCCCCCCCCCAGGAAAACAATTTTTCCCTGAGTGAATTCAGAATACGTAATAACTTGCTAACTCTTATGTTCATAAAAAAATATAATGCTTATTTGCCAAGTTGCCGATTTCAGACTTCCTTTTGGTCCCTAAATTATCTTTTTATATTGAAAGAACTGTGAGGCTCACATTTTTGTTTCATTTCAATGAAAAATCTCGACACATTTTCGTTTTCAAGATTACCATGAAAAGTCATATGTGGAGATAAATAGCGAACAGGAGCAATACTTGATTAGCATCGTCAAGAGTAATGACACGGATTAGCATCAACAATTCTGGATAGTACCGAGTCTACCGACAGCAGTAGTAGGAATAATTAAGTAGTTATAATGACTATGATAATATTAATATTTCAAAGTTTTGATTAGTAAGTGAAGTTTGATCATTATTATTCTGAAGTTTAGTTTAGTAAACTTCAAGAGTTAACATGTTTCACAAGGGGTGGGGTACATTGTCAAAGCAAGATACAGTCAAATCACATTTGTAGGATGCAGTTTTTCTGCTACTTACATTGTGTTCAATCATTTCAGGTATTCACTTCTTTGAGCAAGTCAACAGTTCCTCATCTCTTTATTACAATCATCGAACAGTCGACATTTATTTGTTGAACCATAGCAAATAGGCCGCCGTATACACAAAGGATGCAAATTAACTCAAACCTTTTATGTACACTCGGTCGATCCTCCTACTCAAACATATAAATTGCATTAATTATTAAAATATAATTATACCTATTCCAAATTTCAAAAGTATCAATGATGATCTCTTAAAAAACTTTGTGATGGGTTGACTCACAGGATTCCAACGTAGCAATTGGCGTACTAATCGCGAAGACCATATATTTGGAAACCTCTACAACATGCACACTGGGTCTTCCTTTTAAAAAGGGAATAGAGAAGTTGACCAGAACCTTGTGACATCCACTAGTAGCAGCTAATTGTATTTTGGGCAGAAGAGGAAATTACCCTCTACTCACTCTATTTTCAGAGGATCTCTGTTTCTAATTAGATGCAAAAAGAACTCTTCGGAGCATCTCCATGGAGCCGGTGAAACAGAACCCTAGTAGGTTTCATGATAATGGACCCACTAATGAGTGACGTTATACTTGTAAAGCAAAATAAATGTCTTTTCATAAAAGAATGTAAAACAGGAGTGAAGAAATGCAAGAATGAAAATGTTACTAACCAATAAACAACTCTGTCCATTATTATCATCCGAGTAAACATAGAAAAAAGGAAATGCTGAACTTTATCGCTTACTGGGTTATTTGTAGCCCTAAAGTGGTGAGGCTTGGCAGAGCTCCCAGGGATCAGAATACATATTGTCATGAACGATCTCAGTCTATTAAAAAATAAATGAATGTGTGGTCATCGAAGAGTCATGATTCATGAACCAGAGAGCAACTTCTTTTACTAGTTACAAACAAAGCAATGCCATTATGGCGGCCATTGGTATGACTAATTCTCTGTAACAATCCTTCATGCTAAATGTCAACGTCTGATGCCGAGTACTGATTATTGCTTCTTCACCCTCCATTCTTGAGCAAGTATATGGTTTGGGACAAGAAATATTGGAAGAAGGCACGAACCATTTGACCTCTGCTGGTGTGGCCTTTTCACAACCGGCAAACCCATTAGCGACATAATAAGTTTGCAACCCTAATGGGGGGACCGAAGCTTTCCAGTATACACGATGTCTACAGAGAATAATGTTTCATCCTCCTTGCTGCTGTAGTGTTGTTGCATCTCTGGAGATATCTGGCTTCTCACACATGTCCAATTTGAGTCCAAGATTGTCACCTCAGGTCTGTCAACAATTACCATCACAACTTCATGTCTTGTCTGCTCTAGTGGATTAAATATCACCACAGTCTGGACTGTCCCTTCATGAGCAGACATGGCTTTGTGCACTGGCTGAGCATCGTATTTAGATCTCACTTGTGCAGCCTCAAACTGAGATGGGTTCTGTTCATTCTTTTCATGGCGAATCCCATGAAAATTTGAAGATCTTGCAAAGCTATGTGCATTCTCACCCCATAATCATTAACTACGTGGTCCTTAGCTGTACCAGTAACCCCATCATGACGTTGGAACAGCGCTAGGTTCCTCCTAGCCGCTGCTAACTTATAGGAAAATCCGGTAAGTAACCGCTCACATTGTGGTTTCTGACAATGACCTAATAGGAAAGCCATCATCATATCAGCACCGCGGAGGGTTTGCTCCAACACACGATCAACAGCCTTGAAGAAAGGCCGAGAAACATAATAACCACTCCAGTAATCTTGCTGTCTGTCAGCATATGTGAAGAAATCGCCTGAAAGAGAAGGAAACCCACCAATCTCAATAGAACCAATCTCATTTGGACGGGAGTAATTTACCCTATCAGCCTCTTCACGAAGAGTCCGGAAATAATCTTTCAAGGTACCAAATTTTGCTTCTGCATTCAAGTCCGGATCAGAATTGATATAATCAAGCAGAAGCTGATAATTCCTGAACTGAGCTTCAGCCTCATCAACGGTGACATAGCAGAAATCATCTCCGAGGGGAATAAGAAGAGTATTTGTGCGATATAGTGTTGATTTCTTTCTGTATTGATCCAGCAGCTTTAGTGCTCTTTCTTTAACATTTTCTGGTGTGGTCTCCTGTGGATATTCTCCCCAAGGGCAGCGCTCATACGTAAAGCCATAGGTTCTAGCAAAGTCAAATTGAAAGCATATTGCAGGCTCAGGCCCACAAGTATGTGGAATATCATATGAATAAAAGGGCATCATATGAGCAAACATGTCAGTTGTTTCTTCAGCATCCCAGCTCTGCCGCCATACGAATTCTAAATTTCTATACAAAGCCAGTTCCTTCTTCAATTCATAATGTGTCCTCTGTATGAGCATATTCTCGAAACCCATACGACGAAAAAGGTATGCCATTGTTGGAGAGTATCCGAAAAGATCAATCAACCACGAATTTTTTGGAACAACACCGCAAGTTTCATTAAGCCATAAATTACCCTCTGTTATCTGGTAATAGATTCAGAAAACAAGATCCTTAGCACAGCTTATAGGGACAGCATGTGATATGCATGCTTAAGTACATATATAGTTATTAAGAAATCCCAGCTATTTCGCTGGGTTTACAAATTATTAAATATGAATAAAAAGTTAAAAAGAACGATTTACTTAAAGCATATTATGGAAACTAGAATGAGATGACATCCATTATGCAACAACGTCACAATTTTCAACTCAGTAAATGAGAACCGCAACATTTTGGGCCCCATATAAATCTCTATCTAATTCTCCAGTTGGCATCATCTGTTCAGCTTATTACTTCAGTTTTCAATTAGAAACTCAAAGCAAAGAAAGTTGGGTGGTATCAATAAAGCAGCCCTATTATGTGTAATCAAAATATGCACTTATGAACTAGACAATAACTAATGCCAAAAAGGTAACGCGTAACCACAAAATAAATAATTATATATCGAGCCAGCAGCTTTAAAAAAAGCAGGAATAAGAAGAATGTGAGTAAAAACAAGAGAATTATACACTTTACCTGTTCTATGATTGCAAAGTAGTGTGAATTAGCCTGTAAAAAAAAAAGAGAATAAAATAAGCTGCAGGTGCACAAGCAAGAGAAATTCACAGATGAATGAAAGACAATTGCAAGGAAAATGATTCCTTGACGAGAAAACCAAATATGAAGAGCAAAATGCAAATAAAGTTCTAAAGATCCAAGGGTCCCAGTAAAATTGACATAACGTGTCCAAAAGATTATTATTTTAGTCTAGCTTTCCGAACGCGCGCCAGCACAAGAACCAAATATGATTACAGTTTTACATGTAAAACCAGCTAATCAACTGTTACCAGACAAATAAACCCATTTTTTCAAGAAGCTGGAAGCCTAGAACTCATTCATTATGGTAAATTTTACTAAGAAAAATGTCAAATCGCCACTGTGATCCGTTAAAAACATGGCTTTCTGTTCACCATTCCCAGATCCCAATTGGAAAAAATATGAAACACTTGAAGAGAAAAATTATTACTTGCATACCATTGCAAAAGTGTCATTACGTTAACAGCACAGGCTTACCTCATCATTCATCACCCAACCACGTCCTACGATTTCTAGTTCTCCATTCTGTACTAAATTGATGAAGGATTCTTTCTTTGCAGCTGATGCATCCCTCCACCATCTCTCCAAATAAGACATTTCCTCCCATATAAACTTGCGGCTCCTATACACCAATACCCAGAACGATTAGCGGAAGAAATCACATTAAACATTATGAAATGGAACATAACAAAATGTCCCCAAAATTAACTTAGAAAAGAGAATCAGAATTCCATGGGCAATTTTTGATCAGTAACGAAACACTTGTAGTTGCAACATGAAGCACTAATGAGAACATCGAAGTGAAATTGATATTCAGGTCACTAGGTCAGTTTCCTTTATTCACCATATTTGCATCTGAGTCGTTGATTAAACATTTGTATTGTGAGGACGCAACCTGTGTAAATCCAACCTGGATCATTATGCGAATGTGGAGTCCTGGATTGCCAGCGATTTAAAAGGCCCCACGGTAGACTAAAAATGACATGAATAGAAGGGTGTAAAAAGACATTATGGTTCCAAGAGCACACTTGGTAGGAACTGAAGATATTAATAGAGGACATCATAACGTTGAAAGATCATCTCAAGGGTTTATGTACCAAATCCTTTGTTGTTGGTGCTTTGATTCAGAACTTACTTGAATGCAAGCTCCTTTAAGCTTTCATTCCACCCTTCTAGGTGCTGATCCAAAAGAGCATGTGTCCTAAAACATACCTGGAACACATTTGGTGATCATAATATTAGTTCCAGCATCACAACCCCAACACTCCAACATGGTAGATGCTTACAGATCAGCCACATAGATTAGTAGTGGGAGGAAGTTCATAAAATATCTTGTTCATCTCACTCTTTTTTCCTTTTCCTGTTTGGAAAGGGAAGCGAGAAGATATCATAACTATGTGTTTCCTTTCACACTTTCTTTGTGGTCCCTAAACTGTCTGTTTTTATTGAAAGAACTGTGAGGGGAGGCTCACCCTCACATTTTTTTTTATTTGTATCAAAAATCTCGACACGTATTCGTTTTCAAGATGACCACGAAAAGTCGTATGTTACAGGGAAAGGGAAGATAGACCAATAAACAACAGCCAGAAGATATCATAACTCTGTGTTTCCCTAGTAGTATGTGCAACGTGTGAGGAAAACAACTGAGCCGAGTTGCCTTTCACATTTCTTTTTGGTCCCTAAATTGTCTGTTTACATTGACAGAATTGTGAGGGGAGTCACATCTTCGTTTTATTTGTATGAATAACTTAACATATGAGGCTATTATATATCTCGACACATTCCTTATAAATAACTTGATACCTATGAGGCTATTATATATCTCAACATACTCCATAATTCATACAAACTCCAGGGAGATTAACATACTTCATAAAGAACTCCATACCCAGCGGGACTTGGTCAGTCCCAAAGGGTGAGTATATCTGCAACTGTACCTTATTATTTATAGACCCAGTCAGGAGTCGCCCAGCCTTCCGTCGTCGGTGTGGGAACTGATTCTAATTAGTGAATGCTTACTTTCTCCATTTCTCTGGCCTGGCTTCCTTCACCAACAGCTCAGCTCAGCTCTTTCACCAAGCCCGACGCCGCTAACAAAATCCGCCGGATTTCCTATTGCGTTTGTCGATCGGAGGGAGGGACGTTCAGCTCCTCTTTCATGAACTCGTATCTGTCGATCGGAGGGAGGGCTGTTCATACTGAACTGAGGAGGCGGTACCCGCACCAGTAATGGGCTGTTCACATTTTTAATTTTTGTCTATTAAAACTCTAATAAATACTACCTATCATATAATTCCTTCATTTTTATAAATTTTCACTTGTGTCTAGCATGAGATGAGATGAAGTTTAAATATATCCATTTCTTTTGAAATATTTTAGAAATGTGATGGGGAATATTTAAATTTCGTTTAGTATCCGAGTTTTTGGTTTTATCGGATATTTTTTTAATCAAACACATAATTTCATTTCAGACGTTGGAATGAGTAATAATTTTTCTCGCTCTATTAATAAAATATAGTTAGAATATAATACTTCCATACTTCAACTAATTGATAATTCCATACTTCCATACTTCCATTTAGAATTTCATAAACTTTAACTAATTGAGCCAATTTCAGTGTTATCGAACTGGCCATGAAACTCATAGAGTTTGTTATTTTTGTATAGTATGACTTGTTTGAGTTTAGAACCTCTGGTTTCATGACATATTCATGTTTTAGATTTCAACCATTCTTGTGGTACACATAATTTGCACACATTTGACAAACTCTTCTATCTACACGGATAATTGTTGCATTTTTATAAACGAGTTGCCTGCCCACAGGTAATTAGTGGATGTACACATTTTGTGTATATTTTACACTCGTCCGCGTATACAGAGAATTGTTGTTTGTTTCTAATTAACGAGATGTCTGTATATACAGAAAAGTGTGCTTAAATTATGTGTACAAAAAGTAATTTTCTTGACATTTTGAGTACATCATTATTATTTTATTTTCTTATGCATATCATTATCCTCTATTATTTAGAGCGAAGCTGGTATGATTTGATTTGTTTTAAGTCTAGTCATGTCCAATCAATTTAAGTTAAGTCTACTCATATTTTATGTGATTTTAATCTGAAATATCCAAGTATGTGGGATATAACATAACCCACTTAGAAAAAATGTGAAGTCATAAAAATATAAAGTGTTGTTTGCACTTTATCACCACAAATTAAAAGCTCAATCCAAATAGAATCACTTCTTTCATGAGGTGGCAACATGCAAAAAATTTGGATGTTACAAGAAATACTAACTCTTTCCGAAAATTATCACTGAGTCGTACTGATGGAGATTCTTCTGTTCAGGAAAGAAAAAGTTTTATGCAATTGAAACCAAAAATGAATTTAGGAGGCTAATTTAGAAGTTTTACATGGGTTGATGTTTGAGATTATATTATTGAATTATTTTAAAGATAACATAACACGATGATTAAGATAGAGTACTTCATAGAGTTATTTATTAGTGGACTGATCTGGTATAGAGTGGGTTTGTTTTGGCCGACGTTATAGTCACCGCACTAAACTATTGCAATAAAAGGCGAACTTGTCGTGAGTAAATCAAAGGCAATTGAAACTTTTCATGCAATTGAAACCAAAAATGAATTTAGGAGGCCAATTTAGAAGTTTTACATGGGTTGATGCTTGTGATTATTGAATTATTTTAAAGATAACATAACACGATGATTAAGATAGAGTTCATAGAGCTATTTATTAGGGGACTAATCTGGTATAAAGTGGGTTAGTTTTGACTGACGTTATAGTCACCGCACTAAAATATTGCAATAAATCATATAGAGTATAAACAAGGCCCCTTTGCAGCTCTCGTCTCTCTCTAGGGTTGCCTCACGCAACGCCTAGCTCTTTCTCCAACGGCGACCTCCTCAGGTCGTGGGTTCCAGCGGCTTCGGCCGGCTGCTTTTCTTCGGTTGGCATACAATCTCTTCAAAAACCTTCCCAAGTCTTGGAAGTTTTGGCCGGCGCGGGGCTGCATTTTCGAACAGTTTTGCGTTGCTTTGCAATTTAGCCGGATTTTGTCTTCCAAACGTTCGGATTCCGGACAGGATTGTTGGTGTGCAGTGGGCATATCCGATTGGTTCTCTTTTTTTTTTGGGGGGGGGGGGGGGGGAATGAGTTTGGGTGGCAAGGGCATCGCAACGATGAAGATGACCGTTGGCGGTGGATTTGCTAAGAGAGCGGGACGAGGAGAATTGTGCGGCTTTCGATGGCTGTGTCAAGCCCGCTACATGGTTAGCGATTCGCGTTGCTCTTTCAGGGGTGACCGTCTCTAAGTCTGATCATTGAATTTACAGTCGTAGTTTTTGGAATTTAGTTGGTGTCGGTTTGTTTTTCCTTTGACTGATGTAATGATCCGGAAATTTATGATATGAAAGAAGGCTAGTTGACGATAAAAAACTATTGCAATAAATCAGCGCACAAGGCGAACTTGTCGTGAGTAAATCAAAGGCAATGTATGTTGTCACAACTTGCTTTTTAAAATTTCCATTTTCCTTCTTTTTATTATCCAACAACTTTGAGTAGTAATATGAGTGACAAAGACGTTGGCACAAGGTGTGTGCAAAAACATAAAAAAAAAACACTTTTCAACTTTTGGTTTTAAAAAACTTGAAATTGGTGTTTTCAAGTAACAACTTCTAATTAAATTAATCACTTAAAAACTAAAAGATAGAAGCAGGTTGAGAAGTGCTTTAAACTGCTTTTCACTTTTTCTACTACACAAAAAACACTTATTATATCAAACACTACCAACGTTTACTTTTTCTTAATCACTTTTTTTTTCAAACACTGCCAACTTTTACTACTAAACAATTTTTCCAAAATTACTTTGAAAATTTACCGTTTTAAAGTAGAAGCAATCACAAACACTTCATCATAATTGTTTGTTCGAATATAATTGATTCTCCGATTACTAAAATCCCTACCGTACGTAGTCACCTAGTGATCGACTGATAGCAACAATGCTGAAATTTCACTTTGATCTTCTTTTGAGTAATATTTGCATGGTTATTTACAAGTAAATATTATGAATAAAAGAATATGTTTTTCCTAAATCTTTACTAAAATTAGTCGTTGACAAAAATGACAAAATATGTATGAATAATTATGATAATTATAATGTAAAATTCAATTTTACATAAATACAATTACTAAAAATTATAATAAACCACTCTATATAATATGTCATGATTTTATCCACCATCCTTATTTGAATCATATATATGCCATTATTTGATACTCTCTATCTATCTTTCACAATATAATAACAAAATGATTCTTCCTCAGCAGGTTGACACCAAAACCAATTGGGTCATTTCTTTCCCTAGGATAAAATAAAACCTCTTGGGATAGATTCCTCAGCAAGTTCTCGATAAAACTCTTCTAACATGGACTGATGGTCATTAAATTAAATGCAGTGCGTAGCCCGGTGTTTCCAGCTTTTCACATTTCAATGCATTTTCCAACCTTTTTGTATTCCAACGCCAATAAATAAACATATATTCAAAGTTACATTCTGATTTTTCAACTTTTAACAAATTAATTAATTAAACACAACTTATTTTTACTGATTTTTTCCAGTTCCAATTCGTACAAGTTTTATGGGAGCTTTCTACATAAAACTTATCTGACATGAATATAAAAAGGTTACGGAGTCTGCCGTTTGCAATTTCATGTTTCTGAATGCATGCTTGTTCATTTTTACTTAATTTTTGCCCAATTTTTGACTTTTTAATCTTAAGCATTGTTCTTTTATTACCAAAATTATCATATTTGCAATTTAAAAAATTACAGCCATTTCAAAATAATTATGATTTTTATAATAAATATTCAAATAAATTGTTGAAACATACTCCATATTTTTTTTGTTTTTTTTTTTTTTTGGAAAAAAGAAAATTTTATTGAAAAAAGTTAACATTACAGAGAAAGAAAATACAGAAAAAGAAAGATAAAAAGAAAATAAAAGAAAAAAACGATACAGAGAAAGAAAAGACCAAAACTACACCCACAGAAATTCTTTTGACTGAGACCTAGTAGTCATGTTGTGCCTCCTTTTGTTCTTTTGAGATTTCTTGTAGATTTTTAGTTGCATGTTTAGGTTTTCCGTTGGCAGGCAATTTTCTGAAGTAACAAACTTTGATTTCCTGCAGATTGCTCTGTTATATTTTGATTTCGTGATTTCTCCTGGAGTTGAGATAGGGGGACGACGATTGCTTTCAGTGGCATGTCCCAGAAAGTCGTCCATAAAAGAAGAAGAAGAATCTGATTGATAAAAGTTGTCTAATGCGTCTGAGTAAGCCTGAACAAGCCTGTGCCGTTCTACTAGAGTTGGAGACCTTTGATTCTCTGAGTAGGCTCCTTGAATTTGGGAGTCGAAAATAAGTTTAGATATTGATTTTGGCTCCTCTGTAACTAAAGTGTTTTCTTCTAGCCAATCCACTGTTGTCTCCTGCACTAAATTAGCCGGTCCAACAAAATTAGAGAATTATTGCCATGAAATTTTTTAAATTGGAGTTTTTTGGGCCAATGGGGATTATTATGAAGCTCCCCTTTTCTTTAGCAATCTTCACATACCGGTCTGAGTTTTTGAAATTTGAAGAGACCGTGATGGAACCAAATCTTCTGCTTTCCCTAAAATTATCTGATCCGGTGAGGTGGTTTATAAATCTGTAGATGTCGGGTGCTTGCTCTTTTTTGAAATTAATCTTGCGCATCCAGGATTTTTTAATTTCAAATATGACAATTTCATTTTGTCTGACTGTAAATCTAAAGGATTTTGATTCAATCTTGACAGAATCAAAGCCTTCCTCTCCAAAAAAAGTGAATATTTTCTTTAGTTGAGTCATACGTCAATGCTAGAATTAAATCAACAGAGTCCCTATGCTCACTGATATCTGAGTCAATTATTGACGCATCTAAAGTGTCTTGGAGTGTAACCAAAGGGGGATGAATAGTCACCACTTTGTCTCTATCCATCCGAACGAGGTCATCCCATTTTGAAATTCCAGCGAGAATTTCAAAATTTTCATACGGTCCAGCCAATTTCACCAATTTTTAGATATTATCTGCATGACTCTCATTGATTGATGGCCATCAAACATAATCATGCATCACCAATTATTAGAAACTTTTTACAAAAACACGTCATCCGAGTTGGCCTCCTTTTCATTTTCACAAGAAACGTTTCTTGTGTGTCGAAGCTTCGTGTAAAAAATCAATAAATTATTAGAGGG